TGTTTTCCTCAAGTGAACCCGCTGTATCACGAAGATAACAGGACTACTGAGGGCTTGGAGGAAGACAAGAGGTCCAGGAGCTGGAGATAAGACAGAAGGAGGAGGTCCTACTCGAATCTCCTCCCATTGATCGCAGTTCAGTTCGCTTCCTCGGGCTATGGTCCAAAGAGACGGACTCTGCGTCAGAGAGTCAGACGCCCACGATGACGATGACCTTCTGGGAGCTGAGGTCAGAACAACTTCGCGTCATCTTCGTACGCTGGCGATGGTATCGGCGAATATCACTGGTGAGGAGGGGGTAGCAGGAGAGGATAATGGTAAGGTAGTAGCGAGTTAAGAATCTCAGTCAGCGGTTCAGCTACGTTTATCCCTGGATGCGTCAGGGGCTCCGAGGAAGGGAAAATCTAACTTGGTATCTGTTAGAGGGAAGCACATAGCCGCCATTGTCTCCAAGGATCCGGAGTTCGTCCAGGCGATCGAGATGGGACTACGTCGAACTCGGTCTCTGGAAATTGTGCGTCAACATCGACCATTCCAGCAGTCTGGCTCCTCGAGGGTACCTCGCCCCATCTGGCCGCGAGACACCGGCCTCGCTGATGACCTGTATCAAGTAGCAAGCAAAAGAACTCTGCAGCAGGTGAGAGAGTCGTTCACTCGCCCCGAGTCTCAGCGTGTCCCTAGTCCAGTGGACATTCTCAAGCAGGACATTCGCTATGTGACGCTATAGACGTGATGCCAAAGCGTGCCAAAAGCTTCACCCCGGGGCTCCCCAGACCGGTGCCAGGCAGTGCCAACACCACGAGTCACGACGTAACACAAACAAAGAAACTAGTGCTGCATCACGATGACAGAGAGACCAGCATTACCAGATACTTGGCGGCGAGCACAGTAATTCCAGTTACGTGCTCATGTCTCTCCAGCCAGACTCACGGGTCACTGAGGAGACTCTCCGCATGATGAGGTACGGCAGGGAGGAAGACCTCCTAGAAGAGAACCATTACGAGTCTCCTATTAATGTTGCTCAGACGGATCACTCGATCGCCATGCCAGACTTCAGCCAAGCCATGTACACTAGAGGACTTTACGCCACGCTCAATAGAGCCGCCTCGCTCAATACCAAAGATATCGTCAAACCTCCTTATAAAGTCAGAAGTAAAAGCTTTGATATTTCAATTCCTAGCCACAAGATCTGTGCCAAAAAACGAGGGCTGTCAGCAGTGAAAGATTTATGGGGAAAAAAACGGGTTAAAAACAAATGGGAGAAAACTTAAGTGAATGAAAGACTTGCTAGACAATAGATTAGAGGAACCTGAAGACCCGTCGAGGAGACTGTCTGTTGGAAGCAGCGTAGAGCAGCTGAGAAGTGTTAGTTCCTCTGAGATGACCAGTGAACGGCACTTGAAGAGACTGGAAAGTGATAACACTACTACAACCAACAGAAGTTCAGGCACTTACGAGGAACCCTACAGCCTGGAGAGCATCAGATATTCTAGTCAACCATCCCTGGAGACCAAGTCGTCGGCAGCTATGCGGGGATTAACGACATTGTCATTGGAGGCATCGACACCCATCCTTCCTGAGGACAACGGCCGCCCACGCTTTCCCAGTCCTCCTCCACTCATCCACCATAATGGCAAGCCACTCATGCCTGCCAACAAGTTCCTGGACCCCGACAAACTAGCGGCCTTCCAGAAGAAGATCAGCGAGAAGCTGCAGGGAGCTCCTCTGCACCGCATGCAGTGGCTCGATCTGGATGACATCACTGTGGATGATGCCGTAGACATCAAACACGAACGCAGAGTCAAGTTCACCGCTGACACCATCAACCCGGGCAGTCTGGGGCGAGGAGCGGGAAGAGGAGCTCACCAGGCACCAAGAAGGTCTTCCCCTGTACCTGGAAGAGCTCTCAAGCTACCACCACAAAGACAGTGATGAGCTGGAGCCTCTGCAGGGAAGGAACCTTCACCAGGTGGCTACGGAACCCACGAAACAAGCAACCAGCGACACCGATCATAAGGGCATATGGGCCATCTCAGAAAGCTACAGAGGCAGGTTCCAGGTAGTTCAACTTCCAATACTTAAGATCCCAATACTTGTCAGTCAATCATTATCTTAGTGTTTTTGTTTTGTATTTTTTTCAATGTTTATGTAGAGTTTTTAGTGCTCTTCAGTGTTTTTGTAGTGCTTTATGTTTTTGTCTTTTTTTAGGGCTCTGTAGCGTTGTTTAGTGCTTTTGCAGTGTCCTTTAGTGCTCTGTAGTGCTTTTGCAATGTTTGTTAGTGCTTTACACTGAAGAACATAAGAGAAACATGAACACATATGCAGTTTAATATGATCCTTTATTGACAACGTTTCGCCCACACAGTGGGCTTTTTCAAGTTGGGCGAAACGTTGCCAATAAAGGATCACATTAAATTGCATATGTGTTTATGTTTCCATTGTGTCGGTATTTTATACCATTTATTTTCTTCAAGAACATAAAATGGAGGAACAGTGCAGCCATACAAGACAGGTCCATCTCTAAACCAACCATTTCCACTCACCCACTTCTCCAACCTTTTCCCGAAGTTACCCAGGAATTAGCTTCAGTATCTTATTTATTAATCAAACCCAGCCCTTCTCACTCATAAAATTTGTCCAATCTCTTTTTAAAGCTACCCAAGGTCCTAGCCTCTTATTTCCCCAACTCTTTTGAAAATCAGTATTTACCTAACTACTTTCTAAATCTAAATTTATCTAACTTAAATCCGTTACGCATAAGGTAGCCTCGTTGTCATCTGACTTTACTTTTCCCCTGCAGTGAGAGTTAACTTTGCTTCTCTTGCAGGAAGCACCGTCTGGCACTGTGGGACGAGGCAAGAGACAACAGCTCTGGGAG